GCGATATTGACCAGACTTGGAACCTTCTTGCCAATCACGACCACTGTCCCGAAGGTGACTGCGGTCGTCGAAGCAGCAGTCGCTGTGGCGCCGGTCATTGGGGCGATCGTCGCTGTGGTGAGTTGGGCGATGAGTGCCCGCATCCTCGTTGAAGCATACCTTGGCTTCCTCGGCGTCGGTGTACTGGTTGATGGTCGTAATCATCTCGCCAATCCCCGTGGGTGGCTTATGGTTGAACTTAGAGTGGAGGTCACGGTGATGGAGTCCTCGGATGAAGGCGGTGATGACCTCAGCTTATGTGATGTTGGGAATAGAATTCCTCATCTCGGAAAAGCGTTTGATGTAGCTACGGAGGAGCTTGAACAGCTTCTGATAGATGCGATTCAGATCATGCTTGGTGCCCGGCCGAGTATACGTAGCCATGTATTTGTCGGTGAAGACCTTTTTGGGCTCTTCCCAGGATCCGATGGAGTCCGAGGCAAGGCTTGTGAACCAGTTCATGGCGGTTGGCGTGAGCATGACGGGAAGATAATTCACCATGACACTAGTGTCTCTCCGGTGGCGTGGACAACAGTGGCGTAAGCTTGTAACCACTATGTGGGGTTCATCCTTCCCTCGTATGGCTCGACCCCAGTGATTTTGAAACCACGGGGCCACTGGAGTGTTTAGAGTGCCCTCGTGAATGCTGGGGGGCCTTTGGGGTTGTCGGCGCCGTGATCTGCAACGTTGCCAGCATTGAGCGGCTCGAGAACTGAGTCCGGGTTATCGAACTCTTGCTCGTACTCTTGATGGTGCTTGTACTTCATTGAGCGGCGCTCGTCGATACGTCGTCGTGCGTCTCCGAGATTATTGAGGTGCACTCGGACGTCCTAGTCGACCTCCTGGTCGTGCTGGCGAAGGTGTTCGATGCGGTTGCCCCTAGCTCCCCCCTGGAGGGGTTGCTTGTCGTCGCGGTGCTGGTTGATAAAACGACTTGGGCGGCGATCGGATCTTGGCGTGGCTGATTGGTGAATCGAGCTCATGGAGTATGAAGGTCTCTGATCCTGGCAAATCTCGTTGACCTGATAGTGTGCCGTTTTAAGCCTGGCGGCGACCTTGGCGACCTCTGGTGTCTGTGGGAGCTGGGCGAGCTCGTTGGCGGCCATGGCCAGGTTGGCGCTTGGGTCTTGTAGACATCGTGTCCGTCAACACAGACGAATTCGTCGTCGAGGTTGCGGTGGAGTTAGCGTGGCCTTCCTTGTGAGTCAAGCTGAGCCTCGGCCATCGCAAGGGCAGCCTTGTTTGCTCGGCGCTGCGCATGATTGACGTTCCTATTGATGCGGGCGGCGCGGCCCTCCTCGGTTTCCCCTTCCCGCGGGGGGCTACCGACGCTGACGTTGAAGATCGCGCCGCCACGAAAAGGATGGAGAGGAAGCTGTTCGGCGGTGGTTTCGGTGACGGTCTCCGTAGAGCCCTGGGACTCAGAGTCTGGATTCTCCTCCAGGATAGTTTGGAGGGATGCTCCGGGGCGTCGGCCGACGTGCAGCATGTTGACGGCCGACGGAGGCTGGTCGGCGATCTGGTCGGTGGAAGGTTAGACATCTCCAACCTGGTCGGCGAACTTGCCCCTTAGGGCATATTGGTAGGTGGCGGCGACATTGGTGAGCCCGAAGGGTAGCGCCGTAACCCCTAGAGTTTCCCGAGCAGCCTCCGATAGATCTGGATCGGGGTAGTCGGCGCTGAATCAGAGCGGTCAAAGCCGATTCGGCGATGGAGAGGCAATTGGCGAGCTTCTGGCCGACCTGATCGATGGATGTGAATCGGATCGTCGTTGTTGATTTGCCTTCTCTGGTAGCGGGGAAGCAGGCAGCGAGTTGTTGATGAAGGCGACCTCGGAGGTGGTTCCGATATCGGATCTGCAGTAGCATGCGTTGGGGTGATTGGCGCAGTATCGATCTGCACCGGCTCGATGAGCTCTCTGACTCCGTCAGCGTTGATGGTCCAGGAGATCGATTCGACCGTTAAGATCTGACCGGGCTGGGAGAGGGATGAAGAGCCTGCGGAAAATACCATCTTATTCGACATGGAAACAGCACACAGCCTCTACCTGGTGTACGCCAACTGTCGACAGAATATCGTCGGCAGTCCTCCGAGGGGTATCCCACGAAGGTAGATCGATTGGCAGAGATGCGTGTAATCAAGATCAAGAAGGCAACAGAGACACACGAGTTAGACAGGTTCAGACCGTTAGTATGACGTAATACCCTACTCCTGTGGTCTGTTGAATTGTATTGGCTATCGTATAATATTGCGTGAGTTTAGAGGGAGTCCCTGCCCGTCTTATATAGTCCGGGAGGCGGGGTTACCAGTCGATTAGATCTAGAAAATAATCGGAAAATAATAACAGATTATAAGAATCATGGAATCATACGTATCCTAACAGATCTCGTAATATCTTCAGGATATCTTTTCGGTGTATTACGGGAAGCGCCGAACAGTGTCGTGCCCCACAAAACTTGGTCTCGTGGGCTAGTCCGTTTCTGAAGACGCAGCTCATGTGATTTGTTGTGGTATCCGGATCGTATCCCAGCAGCCAGACTGTCCAGTTTGTAATGGGATGAATCGGCCGGTCTACTAGACGTAGTAGTACGCTAGACTAGACGGCGGCTACTGGATGGCTGCGCCAGTGCACCGTGCATTCATCAAGCGCGGCGCGGTGCAGGTTGATCTGGCCTGGCTCTTCGATGCGGACCGGTGACTGCCGAGAGCTCGGGACAGCTGCAGCGTGGCGTGCACCGCGAACGCGCGAGGTCAGGGCCAGAATTTACAGTCCCCTCAGATCAAGCCGCGGCAGAGCGAGTCGGTGCGCGCTGCGCGCTGGGCGCGTTCGTCGTGAACCGGTTGCTGCTTCCAGGCCCATGCGTGGAGTGAATGCCATTTGCTGCTTCCAGGCCCGGAGGGAGCAACTGCGGCACTGCGCTGCGCTCTGCTCCCCTCGTAAAAACTCCCGTGAACGCGTCGAGGGAAGTAGGAGTACAGGTTTTGTTTACTGATCTGGGAGTAAAACGGGTTAGTTACTGCGATTAAGGCTATGCTTTGTTTATGGGACGGAGGAGTAATCCATTAGGGTAGATCGTGATATCATATCATATATGTATAAATTACAATTATACAAATCAACGAACATTGCATGTTACCTCTCAATTTCTATACAATAATAGCTTTGCCACATAAATTCTTAGCATATGCTTGGTTTGGGGATGAGGTGAGACGAGACGGACCAGTCCTTCATTTTTTTTTTTGGAATGAGACCAATGCACGTATGTATTTAGTTGAGGAAACAGGTTGACCCTAATTTTCTGTTTTGATGGAGGGTTTACTCCCCTCGTCAATGCCCATGCCGTCCTCACCGCTCGGAGCGTCCGCCCACCACCAGCGTCCCTCATATGTGCCTCGCCAAGACGAAGGGAGATAGTGTTCAAAGATGACAAAGCAGTTCCCTCGATTTTGTGAAACCGAAACATCTCGAATGTGAGAGGTATATTATCCTTAAATCACCGATCGTTCCGAAGCTAAACAACTTCAAAACTAAGATCGACGTGTCTTGTCCCTTGTTGTTTTATCAACCAAATACAAAGTACTAGGGATGGCAACGGGTGACATAAGGTGCGGGTAAAGGTTACCTGCCCCCAAGTTTACCCGTATCTAAGTTTTACCTGTTCGTGAGCATATCCGCGAGTAAGATTTTGTACCCGTGCCTGTGTCTGGCGGGTATCTGGTACCCGTCAAGCATATTAAAGAGAGATCAATAAAAAAAATACACGCAAATATGTCAAATCTCACTTACATATAGTTCACTAGAATAATATACACAAACCATAATAAATCATAGATTCATAATTCGATCATTTATGCTAATACAAAAGACACAAAACAACTTACACAAAAATAAAAGTAACAAGTTAATACTAGCTCACACAATCACTTTATTCAATCGTTCATAAAAAAATATGTAATTTATAGTTCGACACGCTATGTATACGTTACAAATTACTCTTATGTATCCGTTGATAAATTTTCGTCCGTACCCACACTCATCTCTACTACGTACTCAATTCATCCTAAATTGTAAGATGTTTGATTTTTTGACACCAAGTTTGACCACTCGTCTTATTCAAAAATTTGTGTAAAATATCACTTTTTTCGTCGTGGTTTGGTTTATTAATAAACATTCTTCAAGAATAACTTAAATTTGACTATATTTACATAAATTTTTTGAATAAAACGAGTAGTTAAATTTGTAAAAAAATTAAAAAGCTTAAAGGTCTTACAACTTAATGATTGCACTGATGCCCAGATGCCGAGGGCACCTGCTCCTCCGCGTGATTGCACTGATGCCCTAGAGAATCCGAGGTGCACCGCGCAACAAAAAAAAAACTCGCGTTGAAGCAGGTGCAGAAGCTACTAGAGAATCGAAGGGCTCAGGTGCAACGCGCAACAAAAAAAACTCGCAAAATGTATAGTTGCCCCGGATCCAGTTGCCCCCACTGAACAGTTCAAGAGAAGTTTCACACGAACGTCGAAACGGCAGCATGCCTAACAAAACCCACGCGCCTGAGCGGCCGGGCCCGGGCCCAATCCCAAGGCGAAAAAGAACGCTCGAGAAAAACAGAAAAAGAAACCCTGGGAGTCGAGCCGTGCCTAGATGGTCCCCTCGGGGCAACGGATCCCACTAACCAACACCGCCACGCGGGCCCCGCGTCCGGCCCGCGGCGGACCCACCACCCAACCTCTGGCCTCTCCCTACGCTCAACTTCATAAAACCACCTCCACTCCACCTCCTGTCTCCACTTTAAACACACCCGATACAACACACCGTCCACCTCTCCCTCCCCCCTCGCACCGCCGCGCGGACACGAACACGCGAGCCACCGAACCGGGCCGAGCCCGATCGCACCGACGAGCCGCGCCCCCGGGTCGGGGAGGTGGATCCAGGGGCGGGCTCCTCTTCACCGCCGCCGATGGACTTGGGCCTCGGCGGCGCGGGTAGGACCGGGGGCGGAGGCGGAGGAGGAGGGGCCGGAGCGGGAGCGGGGGCGGTCGGGACAGCCCGTTCGCTCTCGGTAGGGGCGGCGCGTCGGCGGCGGCGTGGACCCGGCTCGTCAGCTCCGGCGTGGAGGACGAGCTGGTGGCCGCGTCGGGAGGAGGAGGCGGAGGACTCGCGGGGGCGAGAGCGGGAGGGCTGCCGCAGGGCCACTTTTTGGAGGCCTGCTTCCTCTGCCGGAAGCCCCTCGCCAGCAACCGCGACATCTTCATGTACAGGTTCGCCACTCTGCCACCTCCATGGCTACCGCTACCTGGCCTTGTTGTGCCGCTCGTTTTGCTTTGCGCTTGTTGGGGGGAATGGTTTTGGAATTTTCTGCAGCGGGTCCCGTGGTATGGACGTTTCCGACGTCTTTGGAAGGTGTATTTTTCCTTGGAAGAACAGGAAATTTGACTGCCGAATCGTCTGCCGGAAAAGTGGGAGTCGGACGTATTATTTTCCCAGAATTTTCCTTTTCTTCTGCGCTTTACTAGTTCGAACGTCCAGCCCAGATTAATTAAAAAAAGTACTAGTAGCATGAAAAATTTGGTGAGAGCTCTTTTTACTTTTTCCGATGTGGTGTTGGTGCGAAGTTTTTGTCATCCTTGATGTGTTCGTTCAGGTATCTTTTGCGCGTGAATCAATTAAATTCTTGGGACCCGAAATTGGTGCGCTTATTATTTATGACCATGCCGTGAGTTCCTGCCAATTTACCACGGAGTACACTCTGTCGTTTGTTCTTTATATATGGAAATGTTGGTAATAATCGGAAAAAAGCTTCGCTGCTAAGCACGGGAGCTTTATGGGTTTGTTACCTGTGAGGCGGTAAGGCAGAAGTAAAATATAGTAGTAGTATTCGTCAATGACGCGTTGAGTATCGTCAGATCCATGAATTTGTGGGCAGGTTGAAGTTACTGGTGTTCAGTTCCATGAGTTGTGTCGTCCCCTTTCTAAATTTCAGCCATGACACTGGTCTTTTGGTTCTGTTGCACGAGCACAAGTGGTGCACATTTTTTCTCTTAAAAAAAGGTGGTGCAGCATCCAAAGACTGTTTATTCTTGTACTCCCTCAATTCCAAATTATAAGAAATTTTAAGAATCTTTGACGAGTCAAAAAAATCTTAAGTTTAACTAAAACTATAAAAAAAATTATAAAAATTTATGATATTAAATAATTATACTGTAAAAATATAATTAATAAAAAATCTAATTAATAAAGAATCGAATGATACTACCTAGTTGGCATAGTAAATGTTATTATTTTATTATTTAAATTTGATTAAATTTGAGATGCTTTCACTCACCGAGATTAATTTGAGACTACTACTTTGGGTTTTCATGGCCTGCTGATCTTATGGGTGGTGGCCTTGTGTCTCTTGTGCAGAGGTGACATCCCCTTCTGTACCGAGGAGTGCAGGAGGGAGCAGATCGAAATGGACGAGGAGATGGAGCGGAAGGAGAGCACCCCGAAGAAGGTGGCGCCGAGAGCTGCATCCCCCAAGGACGTGGAGTCCCCGCCGAGGCCTCCCAAGGCCAGGGCCGGGTCAATCCTTGCCGGCTAACACCGTGAAAGAAAAGCTCACAAACGAGCTCGCTTGTGTATGCTCTGTGCTCCCCCTCCCCGAAACCAAGGGATCAGATGCCCTCTTACCACCAGGAACTACCGCTACAGTTACGTATATGGGTTTGTGTTTTTTGTTTAAACCCCTTGCGCCATTGGTGGCGCCGTGACCTACTCAGTGTCAGTCAGTGCCTGCCCGCCTGCCTACCCTGTATCGATGATGTGTATAGACGGGAGGAGAGGAGAGCGCGCTGGTGTTTAGGACTGCATGCATGCAGCTCTTTGCGCTGCTGTGTCGTTCGTTGTATCATGTATGGGTGTTTCTGGCCTTCGTTTTAGGGGATTTTTGTGAAAAAAAATCTCTATGTGCTACGTAGTAGTTGCGCCGTGTTTAGGCAGATGGGGGATAGAATTAGTATTCGTTACTATAGCACTTTTGTTTGTATTTGATAATTATTCATGGCTCTAACTAGGTTTAAAAATTTGTCTCGTAATTTATAAATAAATTGTGTAATTAGTTATTTTTTTATTTATATTTAATACTTTATGTATGTGTTTAAAGATTTAATGTGATAGAGAGCGAAAAACTTACTATCTAAACAAGGCTTTAGTTTAAAAAAAAATTTAAAAGTGCTACAGTATCTATTACATCGAATCTTACGATACGTGTATGGAGCATTAAATGTAGACGAAAAAAAAACTAATTGCATAGTTTGGTTGGAAATTGTAACGTTTTGAGCTTAATTAGTTCATGATTGAATACTAATTATCAAATAAAAACAAAAGTATTACGTTAGCCCAAATTCCAAATTTTCATCAACTAAACACGTTTGTTGATGGTGTTAGGCTTAAGGTTTTCCCTGATGCTGATGATGAAAAGTTGAAAACATATGGCTACAGAAGAAAGACATGAATGGCACCCTGTTCGTTTTGTTTATGTGGCTTATAAATCAGTTGATATTGTTTTATTATAGGAAAAATACTGTATTATAATTGATATGATTGAGCGAATAGGTTGTGACCCTTGTGTCCATGACTTGCTCCTGTATCATCGTCGATCCTGCTTTCCCTTCTTTAAGGATCTTCTGATTGGCAACAAGTCCTGATTAGTGGTGTTCTTGGTCGATACCTCCAATGGTTTCTATGGCTGGTGCTGTGCAAGTTTTAGTGTGTGTGGTATGGGCCATTTATTATTGCTGTTCAAAACGATGAGAGCAGTTAGCTTAACACTCCCCACTAGTTATTCGGTTGGCCGCTGCTTCAGCATAAGAACATCAACCCTGAGAATGTCTTCAAAGTTGGTCGAAATGTAATAAGCAAGCAAAATACCATCAAGAACGCTTAACTGCAATGTATAGCGACGATGTTTCGTACTACTACCAGTAGTGCGTAGGGCTTGAACTTATCGATAAGTTTATCAGCTACAATCTTCGATATTTTTCTCATATAATAAATTAATTTTAGTCCATTTTAATACAAATACCAGCCGAACGCCGCGGAGGCTTTCGCTTTTACCTTTGGTACACGGAGGTGTCATCGAAAAACGGGAAGCAAAAGCTAAGGGCCTGTTTCGAATGAGGGATTTTTTACTCGTTCCTATATTTTTCTGATGAAAATTGAACTGATTTCATTTCTGTAAAATTACTGTGTGGGTTCAAACCGGCGCTGGAGAAAAGTCGATTCGTACAGACGGTACAGTCCTCACCGAATCTACAGCAGATGTACTCGCGCCGCAGGCTAAACGACACAACTTCGCCGAGCCATGGCGGGGAGCAATAGCATTGACCGTATAGCCCCCTCTATCTGGTCGAGCTCTTCCACTTGCAGGGTTCCTTCCCTCCGGCGGCCACGACGCGAGTCAGGCTAGACTGCTAGAGCATTGTAGAAGAACAGCAGTCCAGAACTGCAATTGAATGCCCATTTGACGCGAGAGTAGAGGAGCAGGTGAGGAGGAGCGGGTGCTGTTGAACACTGACGGGAACTTGCAGGAAGCAGCAGCAGTTAATGGCCCACGAAGCACGCCGGTTTTATGCAAAAGAGGGAGGACAAGTGCCAGCCCGGAGGCCGGAGGGCCCGCCCGTCAGCCTCGGGCGACGTCTCCCGCGGGCCCAACTGCCAGTCCCTCCACAAGTCCCTGTGCAGTGCTACATAGAAGACTCTCATTCACCGCACTCGCCCTGCACCTGCTCCTGCCTTCTCTTCGTCAAGGACCGCAGCAGCGCTTGGAAGAAAAGTTCCCGGTGCGGGAAAAGAAAAGAAAAGCGCGGGCGGACGCCGACGGCCGTGTGCTCGTTCCTCCTCGTCCTCGTCGGTCGTCACGGGCGGCTCTTTCGCGCACCGGAGGAAAATGATGGCGTTCGTGCCGAATTGATGAGGATTCGCAGGGAAGGACTGTGGCCGGTGATGGCGCCTGGCTGACTGCCAGCCCACTACTCGGCGTCCGCTGCCAAAAGCGACAAACGAACCAACCCCCAGAACCCAAAAAGGCTGCTCCCGGCTTGCGTCATCTGCCCGGCTTTCTTTGTTTGGGGTGGTTGCGGCAGAGGCACGCGGCCCGCAGGGGGAGTTGCTTTCACAGTAGCGCAGCCTTCGCAGGGTGCCTGTGTCACCTCAGATCTCACCCACGAGCTACAGTGAACAAGTCAAACATTGGAAAAAGAAAAATCAAACGCGACCAAAGTCCTTTGGGCTGCAGCACGATGCCTGACTGGGAACAAAGCATGGCTAGCCCAGCCTTGAAGAACCTTGCTGAACAGAAATGATCCGGCCTAGCCCGAGTCTGCTCACGCCGATGATTTGGGCCGTTCGATTCGCGCTTCTTCAGACCTGAGCAAATTGAGGTCGGCTCAAGCCCGATGTGTTTTAGCCTGCCCACGAATCTTCCTGGACAGGTCTGGTCGCAGATTCCGTTGTCCAGGATTTTTTTTCTTGGTCTGAGTCCTGTCCGAAAACTTTTTTTGCTATTTTACTGTACATTATAAAATGCACGGGTGGTCCATCTAGGCTCGGGCCAGCTCGAAAAATTAGACCCAACCTGCCCAGTAGGACGGTCATGCGCGGACTTTTTCGGTCCAAAATAATCAGGTTTTTTTGTCTGGCTTGGCCCGCTAAAAGCTCTAATTTGATTTTGGTTAATTGATGAAATCCTAAGTGCTAACCTAGTTTGTTAAGATGATTATGAGATGATTATGAGAAAGGTAGCCCTACTCCAAGTGATGAAGCAATGACGAAGATCATGACAATGGTGATGGCATGGCAATGATCAAAGGCTTGATCTTAGAAAAGAAGAAAGAGAAAAACAAAAGGCTCAAGGCAAAGATATAAATAGTAGGAGCCATTTTTATTTCGGTGATCAAGACACTTAGTGAGTGTGATCACATTTAGGTTAGATAGCCGTACTATTAAGAGTGGTGAAACTCGTATTGAAATACAGTTATCAAAGTACCACTAGATGCTCTAACTCATTGCATATGCATTTAGAATCTAGTGGAGTGCTAACACCCTTGAAAATGTTTGTGAAAATATGCTAACACATGTGCATAAGGTGATACACTTGGTGGTTGGCACATTTGAGTAAGGGTGAAGAAGTTAGAGGTAAAAATGAGTTAGTCGCGCTGGTCACAGAGCGACCGGATGTGTCCGGTACGGTGACCGGACACGTGTGGTATTAACGACGAACTCATCGACCGGACGCGTCCGGTCGCCACACCGGACACGTCCGGTGTGAATCAACAAAATCGGTGTTCGGTGAGACAGTTGATCGGACGCTGGCTGCGTCCGGTCGACCGTGGGTGCTTACTGTACTCGACCGGATGCTGAGGCTCGGCGTCCGATCGGTTTCTAACAGACGTGTCCGGTCGGCTCTAGGGGCTTACTGGACTCGACCGGACGCAAGGCAGCATCCGGTCGGTTTCTAACAGACGTCGTCGTCATTCTCAGGGGCTTTCGGACTCGACCGATCGTCGTCCGATCGAACATGTCGAAGAGCCGTCCGTGAACATGTCGTAGGCAAATCAGCAATCACACACGTGGCGGTTTGTAGCTATCGGACGCGTCCGGCATGGCAACCGGACACATCCGGTATTCACGACCGGTGCGTCCGGTGCTGCGTCCGGTCAATATGACCTAAGCATCCGGTCATCCCGCGTTGTGCCCAGTGAAGGAGGTACAATGGCTCTATTTCGTGGGGGCTTCTATTTAAGCCCCATGGTCGGCTCAATCTTACTCTCTTGGCTATTTTTATTGACATAGCAACCTTGTGAGCTTAACCAAACACCTCTCACTCATCTTCATCATTGATTCATCATCTTTGTGAGATTGAGAGAGAACCCAAGTGCATTGCTTGAGTGATTGCATCTAGAGACACTTGGTATTCGTGTTTTGCTGCGGATTTTGCTTGTTGCTCTTGGTGGTTGCCACTACCTAGATGGCTTGGTGTATCGGTGGAGGATTGGCACGAGTTGGTGATTGTTCGTGACCATCTCCGGTGATTGTGAGGGGATTTGTATCTTCTCCGGCGGAGCGCTGAAAAGATAACTCTAGTAGATTGTTGAAAGGTCCTAATATGGCTAGAGGGGGGTAAATAGCCTATTTAAAATTCTACAAATCAACTAGAGCAATTTGATTAGTAAGACAAATAGCGAAATGTAAACTTGCTCTCTGAGGGTTGCAAGCCACCTATCCAACAATTCTAGTTGCAATAATTATTAGACACAAAACTTGCTATGATACTACTTACTAAGACCTCTCAATCTTGCTACATTAAAGAGCTCCACTAGATGAACTTAAATAACAAAACAAGCTCTCAATTCTAATTACACTAAAGAGCTTGCCACAATTAGTTTGCAAGAATATAAAAGAGTGAGTAGGTTGATTATACCGTCGTGTAGAGGGATGAACCAATCACAAGATGAATATGAAATCAATCACCGAGAGAATACCAAATGGCAAGAGACAATCGATTTTCTCCCGAGGTTCATGTGCTTGCCAACACGCTACATC